ATTATAAATATATATAATGTATATATATTTATAATATATATACATTATATATATAATATATATATATATATATATATAAAATATATATATTATATATATATAACAATGATTATATGGCGGTCATGACTCATATGTTTGACTGTACCATCTGACTGAAGACTTGTGGAGATATTTGTAACTGATGAGGAAGAATGTGAACTCTGTAATGTATACAGGTGATTTATGAATAAATACTTATTATATTAATATATATTTAGCACACGTCTCAAAAACAGATATCAAAAACAAAAGTAATCACTGGAATGAAACTTTATATGTGAACATTTGAATAATGTCACAAACATCATTGTGGCACATTAGCATTGAATAGTAAAATGAGAACATTAAATCATATTTTAATTTCCATTTTTAACATGTTATTTTTCAAAATTAATCTTAATTAATTAATTAAATTCATCAGCATTTGACACCAAACTGCGGTGGCCAGGTATTTTCTAACTGTGCCACCCGTCTATATCCACCCCTGCAGGGTGAATGGAACAGACTCATTTATAAAAGATTATTAAACAATATTTAATTTAATATTTAAAACAGTACAGAGCTCAACCCAGTGTTTGATTGGTGGCAGTATTTACACAAACAAACACATTTTGTTCATTTAACTTTTATTGATATTTTATTTTGGTTTCTAAAAACAAAAGAAGACATTTTAAGACTTTAAATTTACATATTTATATATTATATCAGAGTTTTTACTTGTATAACCTGAATACGCACTTTATTCTCCGGCTGTCTCCAGTTCTATTTCAGACTCACATTGTGAAAGAAACTCTCACTTCTCCTTTTCTGTGTCTCAAGTGTTGTGAGCTCCTCCACCCAGTTACTTCTGCTGCCTTTCAAAACACGGTTACTCAACTACTGCTTATAGTTAATGTGTATTCATTACGAGAACAGAAGTAAAAAACAGATAAAAATAAATCAAATGGCAGAACTGATGTGTTTTAAACATAAAACTGTTTATTTCTTTGAAACTGAAGCAGGAATTCTCCAATACTTTCATTATCTTCATCAAATTCAATTTTATTTTCTTTCTTACAAAAGCACAATGAAAAGACCTCATAAAAACAATAAATTACACAAAAGAACAAAGAATATTAACACAAAAATAAAGTAAGTAAACTAACTAAAGCAAGTCTTTTTGGGGGCTCTTATAAATACGTACGAGTGATACAGACACATTTCAGTCCAAAGCTTTCCTAATGATCAATAATCAATAAAAACAATGAAGCATAGTTCTACCTCATAGATAAAAATTAAAAAGTACCAGATTGCGTCCATAAAGAGAAAGAGAACCGTCCAATCAGAGAGCTTCAGATCCATAGTGACACGAAGTGGGACAGCAATGTCTTTTACCTATAACGTCTCTAACCTTTGACCTCTGATTCAGTAGCAAACACTGTTCAGGTCTCAGCTTCCTTTAGCAGGTGAAGGAAATAATTAGGGACTGAGCCAATATCAACTGTAAGGTCCCTAATTATTATACTATATTACTATATAGGGTTAGGGTTAGGGTTAGGGTCTTCCTCGGTTTCTGGTGATGAGGGCTTGGGCGTGGGGTGACGTGGCATGGAGTGGCTGCGGCGGGGGACCACCATGCAGGCCCCGACGTAGGTTGATGGCGAGGTCCCACCCAACACTGCTTGCAGCTTTAATTATATATTTTATCTGAATGCAACTTTCCCAAATCTCTTCGGACGTACAGAGAGAGTGAGGATAAACGTTAGGTTCACAGTTCATGGTTTGGACCACCTGCAGTGGTCAATATGTGGGACATCATTCAATACGTGGGACATCATTCAATACGTGGGACATCATTCAATACGTGGGACATCATTCAATATGTGGGACATCATTCAATACGACCATAAAAGATAAAATGATGTCCCATGTGGTCACCTGTCTCACTGAAGAGCTGTGGCGTCCACACAGACAGTGTTTATCTTCCTACAGTGAGTCTGCCTTTAATAAATACAACACGATAAAAGTCTGAATTAATGAAATGATTCAGAGAGCTGTTCATATGTATATATATGTATATATGTATTTATATGATATATGTATGTATTTGTAGATGATATTTATATGTTACTGGTATATGTTGAACTAACGTTCTGTGATGTGGAACAAATGCTTTATATTTATTTGTAGATGAATGTATCACAGATATTTTACTTTGTTCTGTTTTATATTTGTAAAATATTTTTGTGAGTTTGCAAATCTTTTTTTCATCTTGTGGAAGACATGTTATATTTACAGATTTACACACAGACTGTTGATCTGTATACAGACTGCTGATCTGTACACACAGATAACACATCTGTCTCTATATAGATATTTACTTCACCGAGCAGTTTCACAGCCGGTTTTCATGGATCATTTTTACCTCTTACGTCCACCTACTGACACCTCCGAACGTTATCAGATAAACTGACTCATCGTGTCACTGGATGGACTGTGGGTGCCAACGAGATGTAACTTCATCCTCTGCCTGCTACTGAACTGTAGATGATGGCATCCTCTGCTTCCTCCGCCGGTCTGAAAGAGAAGGAAACACAGAGTGAGTCAGCAGACAGTGTTGTGTCATCTGGGAAAGGAAGAGAAAGGGCTCTCTATGTGCAAGCAACAGTTTCAACAGACAGAACCCACAGTGGGCTACAGCAGCAGACCTGGACTACAGACAGTAAACCTATAAACCCTAATGGAGAGCAGAGATATCTGTTCACTAACATATTTTACTGTTTATCTGGAACATGTGATTGTGTGTGAACAGCTCTACTCGCAGTACGTCACCGCTGCTGGCTGCTAAACACCAACACGAACTTTACGCATGAATCAAGTTATAAATAAGGTTTATTATCATTATTAAGTTCCTCTAAGCTGTTTGGTGTCAAAGGTTAAACCTGCACATTGAAGCTCTGTTGGACCACGACAGAGTCCGTCTGTACGGTACCTGGCCTGTTTCTACTGTTTGAAGTGGACGGAGACGTAGCTGACGGCGCCCACAGCTCGGCTGGTTTCCTGTTGCTGGAGATGTTATCAGGATGCTATTTATGTCTCTTGACTTGCAGTACTTATATTTTTCTCCTACAATCTTTATCATTGTTATGAACCAAAATACCAAAACAAATTCCTATTTGAGAAACCTACGTGGCAACAGAACTGATTCTGTTTCTGTGATAAAACACGTATTACATGGTTCAGTGTGACTTCCGCTTCCTGAGAACATCATTATCCCTGATGTACATCCACAATAAACCTCAGAAAGTGCATGAGAATCATCCTGTTTCTTCAGTATCACAGTAATCAGCGATAGTTTGTACATTCACGAGTATGCAGCTAACAGCAGTCATCTTAGTGGTTCCCGGATAGGCCTGTATGTTGCTGTTAGCATGTTAGTATCTGTCAGATAGGCAACAACATTTCTAACTTCCCCCCCTTTTTTTTTTTTTTTTACATAAAAGTCACATTTCACAGTGAGTTGATGAAAATAAAGCAGAAGGAAACGACTCAGACATCCACTGTGTTTGAAATGAGGAGCAGCCAGTTCACAGTGCGGCTGCACCATCATCCAGTCTGTTCAAGCACTAAAATAAAACCAATACTGAGAACAAACGAATCCAAATCATTGACAAACAGTTTGTTTGCAGTGAAATGTCTGACTGACCTCTGTTAACGCCATCAGTAGGCAGCAGGTCACTGGAGTATTTCATGGTACAGACACTGAAACTACAAACAGCTGAGGACATAAAACTAATCCTTGTGGAACACCAGAAAGAATTTAAGGAACTCTGATAGTCTTAAACAGATCTGGAACATATTTTATGTAAAGCACTTTGTATTGTGTTTTATGCATGAATTAAGCCAGAGTTTCTCAAATGGGGTTAACCATTACCATCATTGGCTAACCCAACTCTAGCCCAACGTAATCAACCATAACCCAACCAGCCTGATGGAGTGTGATATAGTGTTATAACCTCTTTATACAGGAAGTTTTCTATGGACCAGAACTGCTTTGCACTGGTCCCCCCTGACTGGGCTGGGAAAAAGCTTCACAGGGTTCATTAACAAATAGAGTCTCTTCGGTACCTCGCCTGCTTCTTCTGTTTGAACTGGACAGAGGCGTAGCTGATTTCGTCCTCAGCTCTACTGGTTTGGGGTTGCTGACCCCCTTCCTCCTCCTCAGCGACTATCAGAGTGTTGCTGTAGATGTTATCAGGATGCTGAGAACCACAAACAGCAGGAAATGAGAAAGACAGGCAGAAATGAAGTTTCTAATGTGTGATCTGTTCGAGGTGGATTAACAGATTAGTTGGTTCAGTAAAAAACTAAATTTATTTGGACTAAAAGTTATTTCAGTCATCACAATGAGTAGAAACAGGTATTTCTGCTTGGAGGTGATACTCACTGACAGACAAACATCTTTACACACACAGCCTGTAGGGGAGAGTAGGGTAAGTTGAGCCACCCCTTGTTGCTAGGAAATGGTAAAAAAACATTGATCATGTGACCAAATATTTAGGAGGCATCATTTCATGGAGTCTGTCAATGTAAGAACCACATGGGTAAAGTGGTTAGATATTTATTTCCAAAAAATTCTTTTTCACTCTTGAAAGTGAATTTAGTCTATCATAAGTTTCATGAGAATTGTGTTTAGACCAAAATAGATCATTTTAGGGATACGGCACAACTTACCCCGCTCCTATGCTCAATATATAAAAAAGTGGTCTTGTGGCTCAACTTACCCCGTGTGTGGGGTAAGTTGAGCCACGAGACCACTTTTTTTGGACATGCTATATTATCACAACAGTTAGGTTTACACTCATTCTGTGTTTGAAGGGATGCTCAACATCCTGAAATATATGCAGATATTAGTTAGCGACAAAACTATGATTGCCTTGATGTAGTGATCCCAAATATGAAAAATGGCTCATCTTACCCCACTCTCCCCTACCATAAATCCAGGTTCTCTAAAGTCTATGGAATCTGAAATATTTTATACTTTATATTAAGTTATTGTTAAGTTTTATATGAAGTTATTAAAACCATTTATCATTTAGGGATCTGTCTGTTTAAATCCTTCATGTCTTTTTACCCTTTAAAGCTCCAGTGTGTCACATTAATATAATATCCATAGCTATGTTTTCATTAGTGTCGAATCAGCTGATAATAAGAATAAGAATAAAATAATTAAACAATTAATAATAGTTTTTTATTTACAGATGGAGCGGGTCCTCGAGAAATCGCCATGAATGTTGGAAAAGAGGAGGACATATGCTGGAAAATTTGGAAGAACCTCCGCGACCGATTTGAAAAAAAGAAAAAAACCTTTTTTTTCTTCTAGTGCGTAGAAATAGCAAATTCGCTAGCCTCTCCTCACTAGCGAAACCTCCGTTCAGGAGAAGACTGCAACTAGTGCCGCGACCACCACGCGCAAGTATAGATAGTCACGGCGCTCCCATGACGTCACCAAGTTGGTCTGCGTCGAGTATACCGGGCGCTTTAGCGTGCCTGCTTAACGATTCCGCTTATCGATTCCGCTTGTTGCAAATGCGTCATGACGTCACACACGCACTGCGTTGTTTTGGTTCAGAACGCAGCAAACATGGCGTCGAGGCAGAAGCGCTCTAAAGTTTGGTTATATTTCACGCGAAAAGTGGACAATACTACCTCCAATATGCAGACACATTTGGCCACACAATGCAATTCATTTGCAGGACTGTCGCGTGTTTGATACCCTACTACCTAGCGACACAAGTGAGTCAAGCAGCAGCGGAGCTAACTGGACGCCATCTGTTATTCATGCCAAAGGAAACTTTAAACTCTCCAGGCAGGACAGGTCCTGTCTGACTTTTACTGTACGAATAATCTCCATTGTCATTGTCCATCAAATTTCATTGTCATGAACCTGCTCTAGGATTATGACAAAGAAGGGGGACCACAAAGAGTTTGTAAATGTTCTAAACAAAAAGAAGTTTAATTAAACAATATTCACTGTCACAAGTCACAATATGTATATGTACGTCAGTGAGGTCAGTAGTGTAGTGAGGGAGTGTGTGGACATGGGTGAAGTGTGTGTGTCAAAAGGTGGTGCATGTCTCCAAAGACCACAACAAACCAGGAACGTGCTGAGTGGAAGGGGAGGATGATCACCAACCAGCCGTTTATAAAGAGCAGCACTCAGGACACACCAGGTATAGCCCATCTAATGGCCACACCCTCTGCCACTCTCCTGGAGAGAAGGGAAAAAGACCCAGACCAACCAGAGGGGGGTGGGGTCATCACAATGATGACGACTTTACTTTGAGAAGTAGCTCACCTACTTTTAGGTGTGTTCTGAGGTTGCTACACATAATTTGTGTAAACTCTGTGCTGTGTCCTCTGATCAGATATTAAAGTGAGTTAATACAAACAAACACATTTGTACTTAATCCCTCACCCAAAGAGAATCGATAAGAGAATCGATAAGGAATCGGATCAATGAGCAATATCTATATGGAATCGGAATCGTTAAATTCTTATCAATTCCCATCACTATCCGCCATGTTTAACCGCTATTTTTCTACAGTAACCCAGAAGGCACAAACCAGACACTGGATCTAGAGAGAGACGTTGGACATGTTTTCGTGGCCACCGTAGTTTCTCCTTCACGCTTGGAAGGGGAGGGTGAGGTGAGGGAGTTGCGATCTGCAACTACACTGCTCAATGCTACTAAATCCCAACACTGGACCTTTAATGCATCATCATCTGACAGGAGGACCAAAGTCAACGTTCAAACACAACAAGAAAATATTTCCAGCACTAAAATCCTACTTAACTAAAAGTTCAAACACCAGTCTCTACTTATTATTTTATATTTTTTGGATAGTTTGCACTCATTTACAGACAGTTATTTGTATTATTGTAGCAGAACTGTTTTACAAATGAGTGTAACTGTTTTACAAATGAGTGTAACTGTAAATGCATTGAGATCAATGTTACAATCAGACTCAGCTGGAGAAATCAGATTTGTGTGTAATATATAATTAAATTATCTCGTTATAACGTGAACAGGATTGTGTAACAGCTCCTCATTATAATGAGAAACTGGAAAGACCTTTTGGTATTTTTATACAATTCTCTGTATTATAATATTTTATCATTTTTAACAATCAGAGCCAGTTCTTCCGTCAGTAACTCACCTTTTGTTCTGTCTCACCTCCCACAGCTCTATGACCCTTATCTGCAGCCCGCCTCCTGCAAATATATGACCATTAATAACAATACACACAGCAGCCACATATAGTAAAGGAGGAGAATATAAAGTGGCACAAAGGCTAACATATGAGGATACACGGTCATTTAATTGTCACTTTACAACACATCATAACGGGTTTAGTCACAAAAAACAAACCTAATATACAAAATGATCCAGGAGTAATAAATAATTCCTACATAGACACACACAGAAATCACTCCACTGGCAGCAGAGCTGAAGCAAAGTCAAATAGTACTCCTGATTTCTGTCCACATGAGGACCCTGACTTATTACTGCGTGCCGTCACCTCCTGCTGAGTCAGCACCCTGAAGCACAAAGGTGCCCACCGCTCTGCCTCTGATTGGCTAATGCTCATTGCCTTCATTAGTTTGGTTGGTATTCAGAGCCATAGAAATATTGTTACGGTTGGAGTAGGGTTAATTATCGCCCACGTAACTGTGCCTCTGTAAACACAGAACTAACTCGATGCTGAACAAACAGTATTGATCAGGGTTGTGCTGAATTAAGGCACTGAAACCTTTGTTGGTCCAATTCAGGCACTGTGGGGAAGGTCTGTGCAGTATTAGTGTGATATAGAACAAATGAAAATACTCAAGTAAAGTAAAACTACCTCTAATCCAGTGGTGTGGAGGTGCCTGAAGAAGTGGGTAAACTCTTAATTTATTTATACCCTTTTTGAAGCAACCTGTCTGGTTAACAGCTGGTTAAGTCAGGTCCTCTGAGGTAGGTCACCAGTGTGTAAGTAAAACAACAAAAATACTAAAAACTAAACTAAAGTCTGTTCTCCGACTTCAACATGTCGATTAGCCATTAAAGCCAGCTGGTGAGACAGGTTTTTGTGTCTCACTACTTCATCTGAATGATTTTTATTAAAACCAACCAGAGTTCTTAAAGCTCCAGTGTGTCACATTACTGTAAGATAATATCCATAAGTATGTTTTTATTAGCGTATAATCAGCTGTTGTGTTTTTGTTTCTATCTACAGAGGGAGTGGGTCCTCTTCTGGCGGAGTCCGCCACGTTGGACCACCATGTTTCTACAGTAGCCCAGAGTGGACAAACCAAACACTGGATCTAGATCAGGGTGTTTTGCGGCTACTGTAGTTTCTACTTTGTGCGTGGGAGGGGACGGTGAACTGTGATCTACAACTACACCACTAGATGGCATTATATCCTTTAACTGTTGTATCTGTTTGGATTATTCCCTAAAACGATCGTGACTATATTCTACAGTCGTCTCCTGATGTCAGCTCACAGAATAGTCCAGTGGTTTAAATACAAACTGTGAAAGGTCGACAGATTTATTAAAGCACCTTTTGATGATGCAGAGGACCACGATAAGAGCGATCAGAGCCAGCAGGACACCGAACGCCACACCAACTATCAGAGACATGTTACCTCCTGTAAAACAAGTGAAATGGACAAAAACAGCAAATTATTTACCGCCAGTAGCCTGCGTCCGCCGTGTTCACTGGGAGGCTGCCGAGCCCCGTTCGGTTGCACGCTAACAGCAGCTACATTAGCAGTTAGCAGTTGAGTCAGAACAGCTGGAGGATGAAAACCAGACAATATTCTCTCCATAAAATCTGATCCACTTTCACCCAAATCACTGATAATAAAGTTGGGTTTTGTACAAAACCCAACTTAAAAAAGTTTTTTAAATAATCAAATAAAATAATCAAATAATAATAAAAGTTATTTCTCTGAACGTGCCCCCCCTCCTGCAGCTCTGTGATATCTGTTAGCAGCAGATACTTTATAAGATGATGATATCATATGTCAGATGTTTCAGATTCTTCTGGCCAAAGAATTTATTGATCACAGACCTGAAATGTTTTCAGCTAACAACTGATCAGACAAACCTTCGTCCTCCACATGCAGACTGTACGGCAGGGACACAGTTCTGTTGTTAGTCCTCAACCCACAGGTGTAGTTCCCAGAATCCTTTGCAGTCAGAGGGCCGAGCTGGAGGGCGGGGCCAGACTCTGAGAGGGCGTGGTTGTCTTTGAACCAGGTGACCTCCAGTTGGTGGATATTGACTGCAGTGCAGTACAGAGTGACTGATTCTCCTCCTCTCATCTCTCCGTCTGCACTGGAGCTGTTTATCCTCATTCTAACAGGATCTAAATTACATTTTAAAGTTAGTTTTAGATAAAGAAATGTTGCTGATGTTCCACTGACTGTAACAGGGTGAATGGTTCCTCTGTACCTCTGAGCTCTTTGGTGCATAACGCTTTTTTATTATATACATATACAGTACATATATATATATATAGAGAGAGAGATTTTATGGAGAAAACATTTCCTCTGATGTCCTCCGGCTGCTCAGCTTCAACTCTCTGTGATTTACAGAGTTTCCTGACGGACAGTAAAGTAACTGCTGCTGTTAGCTAGTTAGCTTAGCCGTCAGGCTCGGCAGCTTTTATGGGCCGAGCTAATGTGAGAGGCTGAGAGAGCTCAGAGGACGGAGGACGCTGACGGAGGACGCTCAGAAGCATAAAGGACAGAGTGAATGTGGGTTGGATAAAGAGAGCTTGGTGAAATAACAGGCTGCAGACAGACGGAGAGCTGTTGGAGCAGTCAGTAAGAGTAGCTGCTTGCTACGTCTGCTGACCTTTAATGTTTGGCTGTTAGCAAAGATCAGAACAAATATACAGATGTCTATATTTACCACTGAGAGTCGATTTAACATTTTCAATCAGACTTCATAGAAATAAATGTAACACAGATAACCAGAGTAGGGGAAAGGGTTGCGGTGTGGTTCCCCGATAGAACATGTTTATCATATAAATGTATACGTTTCAAATCTGAAAAATGTTTTCAGCCGTTCAGACAAACCTTCAGCCTCCACATGCAGACTGTACGGCAGGGACACAGTTCTGTTGTTGGTCTTCAAACCACAGGTGTAGTTCCCAGAATCCTTTGCAGTCAGCGGGCTGAGCTGGAGGGCGGGGCCAGACTCTGAGAGGACGTGGTTGTCTTTGAACCAGGTGACCTCCAGTTGGTGGATAGTGCAGACTGCAGTGCAGTACAGAGTGACTGATTCTCCTCCTCTCATCTCTCCGTCTGCACTGGAGCTGGTTATCTTCATTCTAACAGGATCTAAAATACATTTTAAAGTTAGTTTTACCTGAAGGATCAGTGTGGAGGATTTAGTGACATCCCAGATTGCAACCAACTGAAAACAGCTAAATATTGGAGGAGTGAAGAAGAAATCTCTTAAATATGTAAAGCCTCTGTCTAGAGCCAGTGTTTGGTTTGTCCCTTGTGGACTACTGTAGAAACATGGCAGCAGGAAGGTCTGACAGTACTGGACCTTTAATGATAGTATTCAAAATCAGAACCAGAATATGTCTGTCTGGTTCTGTCAGGAACTTAAACTTAAACCCTTTGACCTCTGACCTTCAGACCTCAGGCTTCAGGGTTACAAACATTAATGCTCAGTAGTATCAATATAATATATTAATATAATAATAATGATAATAATAATAATGATGATGATGATGATGATGATGATGATGATGATGATGATGATGATAATAATGATAATAATAATAATAATAATAATGATAATAATAATGATGATGATGATCTTACCAGTGACTGTGACTTTTACTCCTGATTTGTCAGTAAAATGTCCTCTGGTGTCATTTGCTTCCATTCTGAAGCGAAATGTTGCCTCGTCACTCTTCTGTATATCTGTGATCTGTAAAGTGCAGTTTCCCTTCTTGTCTCCCAGATATTTGTAACGACGGTCGTTGTTTGTAGACTCACTGTCGTACACAGACGGGGTGGTGCCCTGACAAATCTCATGGTTCTGGCACCAGACGACTCTGACGATCACTATAGGAACTTCTCTTCCATTCTCTCTAATGACAGATTTAACTGGTGTGAAGGAGCAGAGGAGGGTGACAGTGGATCCTTTAACAGCACAAACAGGATGTGGATAGTTCACACTCTGAGCTCCAGCACCTGGATACAAACATAGAACAGACTGACATCAAAAACTGAGTTCTCTGATTCTCTCTGTGAACTGAGATTAACAGACCTGTTACTGGATCTCATATTAAACTGTATTCGTGGCCTTTTCACTGACACAGAAACAGCAACTCATCTGGTTAAAAAACAGAAAGAAATAAACCAGACAGCTTCTTTTTATTCTGATTAGATGTGACAGTATTCTGCTGTATGGAAGGGTTTAATAGTTGTACCAGAAGACCATCCACAGTGTGGTTGTGGATCACTTCCTGTTGGTTGGTGACCGCCCTCCTTTTACAGAAGTAGTTGTTACGTCATTACAGTCTCTACCCGGCGGCTACGTCTGTACGATGAGGCTCAGAGGTACGCACAAACACAAAGGGCACCAGCTTACAGAAGTTCTGGTCCCATCAGCCCAAAAGCATTTTCACAACCAGCTCGTCCTAATGTATCTCAGCCAATCAGCAACCTCCGTGGCTGCGAATGAATCCAACACTGCAGTAACTGCAGTTCCTCTAACGACCACTAGAGGCTCCAGCACTGAGTCTCCATAAGGCTCCATATTATATATATGTATATATTATATAACTCTATACTGACTGATCATCCGTCCACTGACACTGTAGTTACTGTAATAATCAGCACCCACCCAGAGTGAAACAAGAAACAGCTGCTTCACCCATTCCCACACTGATAACAGCGAGCCACCACACGAGGTTTACAGCTATTTGTGGTTTGACACCAGCGATTAGCACAAAGTAGCCGAGACCTCGAACCCCACCGCGGCGCTACCAGAATGCATTGCAGGGCTGCTCATATAGATGATGAATGTAAAGTGTGGAAATGATTGATCCTGTGGACACGAACCTTAAGAGACACTTCAACACAACCAGGTTTCTAAAAACAGACGTACAAAACTGTTTGATCAGGATTCAAACTGTAAGAATTCATATTAATGAAGTTAGTGTGAAACATCAGGGAACAAACATAAATAATCATTTTGATGAGATAATAATGAATATATGGAGCTGCAGTCGTCATTAATGAGGCTCTGTGAGGGTGTAAAATGGGACCGCTGCAGTAGGACACATTGTGAGATGATGATGATGACAGTTTAAAACAGCTTTATTTATTTATTTTAGATTTACTCCTTTATTTCTACTGAGACCAAATGTTCTTGTTCAGAATAAATATATTTCTGTGAGTTCATAATCACAATATGATAACGATAACCAGTGATAACAAGAACTGATATTATTCTGCATTTTATTTGATTGTTATTGATGTGATCATGTGACAGCAGCTTTTTAATCTAAAGTATTTTACTTTATTTATATACTGACTTTATTTGACTTCTACAGAGGTTTAAATACAGAACGTACTTTACTGCAAGTACCTCAGACTTACTGGAGTCCATGTACTTAGTTACTTTCCTAACTAACAAGTAACTCAACGACAGATTAGAAATGTCTTTACATCAGGCAGAGGTCAGAAATAATCATTCTAGAGCTGCCTCGTAAAACATCCCATCTCATTGTTCACAGAGCAACATCATGGCGGGTTGCAGCCGTCACAAACCTTTAGAGTCTCATAATAACCACAAACACACGTTCTGTTAGTTTTATACTCTAAACCATATCTGATCAATCAATCAATCATCAGCATCTGAGCACCACCGGCTATTTAGTTATTGATCACGATAAAGGAAGAAAAAACTATTTGATGGGACTAAAATAGTTTCCTCTGATTCAATAAGACATTATCTAATAATAATAATAATAATAATAATAATAATAATAATACAGTCTCAGAGTGCAGTCTAATGAAGGTAAAGTTTATTTAGAAAGCTTCTGACAATATAAATATGATGTGGTAATTGGAGCCTGTGTGTCTCAATCTAAAGTCATTCTCTGACTTCCCCCTTTTTTTATTTGTTTTTCCGAGAACTTCTCTCACCAACTTCTCCTCACAAACTACCGCACCTTCTCTTTGTAGATAACTGGTCATTAAAGAAGAACCGAGTGGACATGGAGAGGAGAAGATATAAATCATTCATTCAGTCTTACCTGCCAGCAGCAACACGAAGCCCCAGAGAATCTTTCTGTCCCAAACCGCCATCCTTAGTTTGAGAGTCTGAGAGTTGTGACCTCAGTCAGTGTAAAGTGGAAAGTGAGCGGCTGACTGTGAAATGATGAAGGAAATGAAGGTCATTTTCTGACTTCCCCCTTTTTTCTTTCTTTCTTTTGACGTCTTTCGTCAACTTCATCTGTGAACCACATCTCCAAGTTTCAGCTTCAGCAACGTGCCGTCACTTCCCTAACATCAGCGTCCACAGATTATCTTTACAGCCGCCATATTCTGAGCGGGAACGTCCTCACAGAGCGAAGCATCGACTGCTTCCTGTCAGACTGAGTCCATCTTTAGAGACGGTTTCTGTGTGGAAGCACCATCATTCACTGAACACTCATATTGAGCACTTTCAGACCTTCAGCAGACTCTAGCAGCCAATAGGAAGAGAGTTCAGTCCCCAGGTGTTTCACCTCTCATAGAGACATTAGCATCCTGCTAACAGTCCAACCCAGAGGTTAGCATCGACAAACAGCCAGTTAGCATTGTAGCTGTTTGAGTTAGCATTGTAGCTGTTAGCATTGGCTAGCTGGCTGTTTGAGTTAGCATTGTGAGTTAGCATGGTGGCTGTTTGAGTTAGCATTGTGAGTTAGCATGGTGGCTGTTTGAGTTAGCATTTTAGCATTGTGGCTGTTTGAGTTAGCATTGTGAGTTAGCATTGTAGCTGTTTGAGTTAGCATTGTGAGTTAGCATGGTGGCTGTTTGAGTTAGCATTGTGAGTTAGCATTGTGGCTGTTTGAGTTATCATTGTGAGTTAGCACAGTGGCTGTTTGAGTTAGCATTGTGAGCGGCTGTTTGAGTTAGCATTGTGAGTTAGCATTGTGGCTGTTTGAGTTAGCATTGTGAGTTAGCATTGTGGCTGTTTGAGTTAGCATTGTGATGTTTGAGTTAGCATTGTGGCTGTTTGAGTTAGCATTGTGAGTTAGCATTGTGGCTGTTTGAGTTAGCATTGTGAGTTAGCATTGTGGCTGTTTGAGTTAGCATTGTGACTGTTTGAGTTAGCATTGTGGCTGTTTGAGTTAGCATTGTGAGTTAGCATTGTAGCTGTTTGAGTTAGCATTGTGTACACGTGGAATGTATCACCTGCAAAACATCACTTTCAGACTTTTATTATGCTTCGACTTTGTTCAACTTTAGCATGTAAAGAAGAAGAAGATCCAAAGTGAATTTCAAAAGCCAAACACATCATGTATTTATCCCCACCTGGTGGACAAAACACCTCACTGCACTCTGGATTCCTGATGCATTTATGTCTCTGAATCAGAACTGTGACAGAATTATAATAATATAATGGAATATAAACCCTTTGTTTTTAAAACTGAATCAATTATTGTGTTTTCACATCTAAAATATGCTTATTGGACAGTTTTAAATTCAAATCTGACCAAATTTAGCAGTAAATAAAATTGTAAATGTAAAAGTGATGAGTTAGTTAGTGATTCTACAAAAAGTAAAAGTGACACCAGTCAGTGTAAAATAAAACAGTCATTTTTAATATCTCATATCTTCAACTTCATGACCCCCAGTTACATCTCACATCTCCTCGTTCCTTATTCCACTCCTCGACCGCTCTGCTCCTTT